TGGAAAAAAAAAAAAAAGGAAAAAGTGGGTGGAAATAAATGAAAAGCACGTATTCTGTGAATACGTTTTCTGCACATTTTAATTGTAAAACGTATTCACGGAATACGTTTTCCTTTATAAAAAAAATATAAAAAACGTATTTAGTGAATACGTTCTTTGATTAAAATATACAGAAAACGTATTCACGAAATACGTGTTTTTTATGTTGGTCTACTATCCTCCTTTTTTGTTGTTTTTTGTCCAGTTATTATTTTTTTATCAATAAATATATAAATTGCTCTTTACGAGAGAGTAACTCGTTTACTCGTTTTATCCATCTCACTCGTACGCCTTTCTCTAAATCAGTTGGTATCAACAGTCAGCACGATTCGCGATGTCGCCGGTACGACAAGATGCCGCAAACGAACAACGTGATGCAATCTTCTACGATCGGTTTCAACAAATTGACTACCGATTTGAAGAGTCGGACGTGCGTTTCACGAATTGGTTTGCAGATCTTTCGACGGGGATCGAGAATTTGCATTTGACGCTTAACAACGTGGTCTGGGATTTGCAGATGAACCGTGCCGTCGGCGACCGGGGTGTGCGCAGGGGAGTTCACGAAGGAAGTGGAGGTCGTGGTCCAGGCGGGGCGCCCCGTCGACGATCTCCACAACCGCCGTTCGGCGATGCAGACGGCGAGGAGACCATCTTGGAGGTGGATCCCTTCGGAGAGTTGCCGCCTCCGCCCGTCGAGACTGAGTTCGTTGCTACGCACAACGGCCAACAAGGTGTGTTTTTTGAGGAGAATGACGGACTATTGTACAACAATCTGCCTATTTTTGATGAGGAGCCACTTGTGGCGTCGATGGAGGACGGGTACCATGTGGTTGTAGAATCATCTGTGCGGCCAGAGGTTGTGCCTGGAATGGATGTTTTCAGTGAATTGGAAGATAAATTTTCATTGTCTTTTATTCAACAAGCATATGTGTCTGATAACTCGCATAATGTGCCCCAAAAGGACAAAGTGGAGAGTTGCTGCCATAGATTTTTTGCTTGTGAGTATACCAAGTTCATGGCCCGTCAAATTGGCCCGGTCAAGATTGTGGAGCAGTTGAAGACGAGATTACTTCGGATTCGAGGGCGAATCCTTTTCGACAGGGGGAGAATGATGGAGATAAGGATGTTTAGAATCTTTAATTATTATTATTATTATTATTATTATTATTGGTATTATAGATTTGTTAGGAAACTTATTATTTATCACTTTGTTATGATTCTTGTCTTGTTAGACAAGTTAGTATTGTTAGGATTCTTGTCTTGTTGGACAAGTTAGTATTAGGGTTGTAGGAGCCTTATATAAAGGACTCCTCATCTATTGTTTTATGCAGTTGATTTGAATAAAAATATGAATTGATTGTGAGTTTTATCGAGAGAGTATCTCGTTTTACGTATTTTACGAGAGAGTATCTCGTTTACTCGTTTATCTACTCGTACGCTTCCCTACACCACATGGACAACTTAAAAACTTATTCTCAAACTCAAATGAATATTTTGGAAATATTTTTTTTTTTACATCAAGTTTTACAATTTTTCTATACAAACCCACATATTTTACAATTTTATAAATTAAACCACACTATTATTTTAAATTTAATTTGGACTTTATGTAATAAAATTAATTATAAAGTTATAATCATATACATAATAAATTGAAGAAAAATGTGATCCCCAAACTGCTGCTATATGTTAAATACTACAGCAAAAATTAAAAATCACAACGACAAGATAAAAAATTAAAAATTACAATACACAAGCTATCTTAAATTATAAATTAATAATAAATTAATTATAAATTAAAAAAATTGTGCACGTATATTAAATTGTAGTTTGCCTATCTTAAATTTTGAAAATATTTTAAACGGTATAATTGTTTTTTAATGATAACTTAGTATATACACACTACATACATACGTACTTGTTAGAACAGCGTGAAGAAGCTGCAGAGAAGGGAAATTTCATCCAAGCGTGACCGATCTTTCAGTATGAGTGACGCGCAGGAGAGATTTCGCAATATTCGTCTGCAGGTTCACTTGATTAAACCGTTCATCTTTTATCTTTTTTTTTTGTTAGTTGAAATTTGTTTTGATCTTTACACTCGAGGGTTTTTGATTGCTTATGAAAGATTCAAACTTTTATGTCTGTGTGATGGCTGATTTCATCGTAGAGCAAAGTGAGGTTTTCTGCAGGTTTGATTAAGCGTTCTTTACGTCTCCGATGGAAAACCCATTTAGATTTTTCCCTGTTTTGAGTAACTTTATTGACATATATATGTTGCTGTGTTTTAGATCTATGTTTTTGAGTTTGTTGGCTGTGATGTTTTTATCTTCTGGGCCGAGAGGGAATAAAGAAGATTGATGTAAAAATATTGGAATTGTAGGGTTTCTTGAATAGTAACAGCAATAATATGTCGCGGTCTGTATCTTACATCCTCTGCATCATGCAATTGCAACCACCTGGGTGACTGTTCTAGATGAATGTTAGAGACTTAGCATGTGTTTGATAAGCACCATAACCAAACTAGCTTATTTAGTTAACTTATAAGCTTCTTGTATTCAAATAAGTTTGGTTTGGTTGATTAAGTTTTTGTAGAAGAGCTCGAGCTTATCTCATAAGCTTCTTCAGGTAGCTTCATAGAAGTCCCTGGTGACTTATCAACTTACTTAACCTAACGGTTTAAATATATCAGTTAGCTTTTCAGCCATCCGTCATGAGAAACTCGAAACTACCTTATGATTTACCAAACATACCTTTAGTTATCTGATAGAGAGTTGGTTACTTTTTT